GCGGCGAGGCTACACGCTGCTCGCCCGCCTTCTTTGGGGAAACCCAAGGGAAGGAGGCGGGGGAACGCCCGGCATCAGCCGCGCCCGCGGCTGGCGGGCGGCGCCGCTTTCACTCACTCGCTCAGGCACCGCAGGGTCGCTCCTTCCGGGACGCGGATTGGCGGCGCCGCCTGCGCGCGGCCGTCAGTTCCGGGTTAGAGGGCCCCGCCCCCGGCCCGTGGGTGGGCGGGGACACTCGCTCCGGAGACTGCCACAGGGTGGTGCAGCCTTAAAGGGCCCGACCGCCTCAAAGCCATAACCGCCCCAAAGGGTGAGCCGTTTCCTAGCGTAACGTTGTGTCACCTTTAAGTATCATCCACACATTAGGCATTTTATCCCTAGGGTCAGAACTTTACCAAATGGGTTTTTGGGAGGGGTTGTTTCGGGGGGGGGTGTATTTATTTTTCTTTTTTAAAATTGAGATGTAATTGACATATAACATTACATTAATTTCACGTGGGCAACATAATGATTCTATATTTGTATATATTTGCGAAATTGTAAACCCTGTTTTACAAATGGGAAAAGAGAGGTGCTAGATAGACAGGATTGGAATCCACAACTGTCTGGATGCAAAGCTCCTGTTTCAGTTCTCAAGCTAGGAGTCTGGCATTGGACGAGTATAGGAAAAAATACTAGGCGGTGAAGGAAGGAGCTGGGAATGAGAGACAAATAAATAGAAAATGCTGATTCTTGTGTTAGGGTGAGTGTGCATCTTCAAAGGCAAGTGGATGCACCAAGTCTAGTTCCTTTCTGGGGACTTTGACAATTACCCATAAGGCATTCTGAAACTAGCAAAGGCAAGAAAGAAGTACAGGTAACGCAAAACAGAAACTTCCAACCTAACAACGCATTCCTATCAAGGAGTAGGGCAGCTCTGGGATTCTTAGAACTTTGCAACTCACTTTATATTGTTTGTTTCACAAAATTTCAAGCAAATGCCCTGAGATTTTATATATATAAATATAACCTCAGAAATGAGTGTCAAATTGATGAAATGATTTTTAAGTCCTTTCTACTCTACCAAATCACAGGCATTTCCCCTATTTTAACTCACTTCATTTTCAAAGCAACCCTGATGCCCATAAACAGGTAACTTCCTCGTGGTCACGAGGTAGTAAGTGGTTAAACGGGGGTTTAGAACTGATTACAAATCTCATGGTCCTTTCTTTGCTCACCATTACAATACAGTTGTCCCTGGGTATCCGCAGAGGACTGGTTTCAGAACTCCCAGCAGATATCACAATCTACCGATGCTCAAGTCCCTTACAGTTGGCCCCTCTGATTCCATGGGTGTAGAACCCCCCAGATAAGTACTTTTGAGCAAAGTGCAAATGAATGCAAATTCAGTATTTTGTGGGAATGTGAAGATAGAACTAAAAACTGCCTGAGAGATCAAAAGAGTCTCCTAAAAGGTAATGTTTGACTATAGTCTTGAAGCTTATATAAGTCACCAGGGCTCACTGAAAAGGGCTCACTAGGCAATGTGTCCATTTCCTCTTGGAGAGCCCTTGGCTCTTCTCTCAGCTGTGTCCTTTTTGAGGGGGTGGCGGTGAGAGAGGAGGTAAAAGGGAGAGGAGTAAGTCATATTCTGACTCTTGTTCCCCCTCTTCCACCCCGAAGTATATTTATCTTAGGTTCCATACTGATGTGATGGTGGTTTTTATGCCTCCCTTTGGATGGCCTCTATACTAACAATTGAATAGATTTATAAAGGACTTTCATATATACTGTCTCTGTATGACCTGCCTAAAAAGTAGGTAACACTTTCCCAGTTTTACATAGAAGTTAAGGGGTTTATTCTTTATCACACAGCTAATAAGTGATAAAACCAGGATTTGAGTTTTTTCTAAAACTCATCACGCCTCTGTCTACTCCAAACTAACTCCTCCTCCCATGTCTTCATATTGCTGGGCACTCCATCCATCCAGTCCCCCAGGCCAGAAATCTGGTTAGCCTTCCCACCACACCCAACCAGTCACCAAGTCTGGAGAGCATCTCTCTTTAATTTCTCTTCTCTCTCCATGCACTGTTCAGGGACTTCTCTCATTTCTGGAAAACAGGAGGCCTCCAGCCTCACCTCCTCCAATGCATCCTTCGTGTGGCTGGCACAGAGAATTTTCTAGAATTTTAATCAGGTCCTGGACCTGTCACCACTCCACTAAAAACTTTCAATAATTCCCCATGGCTTCAGGATAAAGGTTAAAATTCAGCACATGAGAACCTTCTTGCTCTGACGCCAGCCTCTCTCTCTGCTCCTTTCCAAAAAGGCAAACTTCATGCCAGTCAGGATGAAATTCCCTAAATAGTCACACTATTTTCTGTCTGGAATATTCAGCTTTTCTCTGTCCATCTAGGTATCTGAGCTTCATCTTTCAAGATTTAACTTATGGTTGAAAACTTAGGTCCACACAAAACCCTGCACAGAGGTGTTTATAGCAGCTTTATTCATAACTGCCAAAACTTGGAAGCCACCAACTTGTTTTTAGGTGAATGTGTAAACCAACTCTGGCCCAGACAATGAAAAATGAAAAGGCATGGAGGAAGTTTAAATGCATATTACAAAGTGAAAGAAGTCAATCTGAAAAGGCTACATATTGTATGATTCCAAATACATGACATTCTAGAAAAGGCAAAACCATGGAGATACTAAAAAGTTTCATGTTTGCCAGGGTTTGGGGCAAGGGGGAAGGATGAATAGGTTGAGCACAGAGGATTTGGGAGGCAGCGAAAATACTCTGTGTGATACTGTAATGGTGGATACGTACCATAATTCACTTGTCCAAACCTGTAGAATGTGCAACACTAAGAATGAACATAAGGTAAACTGTGGACTTTGGGTGATTATGATGGGTTAACATAGGTTCATTCATTGTAACAAATGTACCTCTGTCACGGGGATGTTGATAATGGGGGAGGCTATGCATGTGTTAGGGCAGAAGCATACGGGAAATCTCTGTACCTTCTCAATTTTGTTGTGAACATAAAAGTTCTCTAAAAAAACAGAGTTTAAAAAAAAAGAAAAGCTTGAACTTATGTACCTCCTCCCAGAAGTTCAGATTAGATGTCCTTTTTGTGAGCTTCCTTAGTCAGCATCTTCTATTATACATAACATGCATTCTTTACACAATCAATGATTTATGTGTCTCCTCCATTGAATCATAAGCATCTTGAAGGTAGATTTGTGTCTTATCGATCTTTAATTTTCCATGCAGGTGCTCAATATATATTTTCTGAATAAAATACTTTTAAAAAATGCCTCCCCATAAACTTTTTTTTCTTTTTCTTTTTGGGGAGGTAATTAGGTTTATTATTTGTTTTTTAACAGGTACTGGGGATTGAATTTAGGACTTCATGCATGCTAAGCACACACTCTACCACTAGAGCTATATCCTCTCCCTTTATAAACTTCTAAGTATCAGAAGAGGATTAAGAATCTCTTCAGCTAGTGAAGTGACAACGGATATAACTTCTAATTTAAACACCCAGATCATATGAATAGAAAACTTTTCATTAATCATTATTTTTATCCATGTCCTGTTCACTGTCATAACTGAAAAAATAATATATCACTTCAATGAAAACAGATTCATTATATCAAAACCTTGAATCTGAAGTTTCTAAGTAGAGAAAGGGCTACTTAGCGCCTAGCATGGACCAACTGTGAAAGGGGAATTCAAAAAAATGTGAAGTCTCTCTGCCCTGGACCCCAGACCCCGGACCCTGGATATCAGCTACAGAGAAAAAATGTACTGAGCACGCCAGTCTCTGGTTGTATCAGGGAAATTACTCCAATAGGAATTCACTCTGGAGTTTCTTTTGCTTTGGTAACTCTTCAAAACACATATTTGTAACATCATTGTAATTCAAGAGCAGGTCATCCTCTGGATACAACTAGTAGAGTTAGTTTCACACAATGGACCATTGTTCACAGACATCTCTGTCAACAAATGTCTCCTGTAGCTACCGGTTAAAACAAGAGCTGATGGCTGGCAGGCATA